ATTCCTGCGGATGCCAGGCGGAAGCGCTGCCTTAGCAGCTTGTGCGAGGCGGTCTGCAGTGCGCCCGAAGACGAAGTGGGCAGAGAAGTGTAGTGTAGCGATAGGGTAGGGGCAGCTAGCGCTGCCATAGCTGTAGCATAGTATGTGTGTGTGTTGTGTATGATACTGAGTGTTGCGTGTGGGACATCCAGGGTGATCCAGAGTGCGAACAGTGAGTTGTGTGGGCGCCCAGTCGCCATAGCCAGTTGAAGAGAACTCATATCTGATTACGATATCTTGAGTACTGTGTGGGCGCATGTCGCCAGTTGCTGTACCGCTGTTTGCAGGCATGACAAAGTGACAAGAAGACGAGTTTGATTTTACTGGTATCRGAGCTGGTACCCGCTGTTCCATGYGCGCTATGTGTGCAGGACCGATCGGCCATAGCTGAAGTGCCGCCGGAGGAGGTAGTCCGCCATAGCGGACCTCGAGGTGGAAGGAGAAGCCGCGCACCTSCAACAAGAAGACCATGAGAGAGAGAGAGAGATGAGCGATCCAAGATTGGTTGTCACATACCTATGAGTTGAGCGGTGGAGTCCGGTGGAAGAGGAAGACRGCGGCCATAGCCGCGGMGTATCAATACAGAGTACCRGAGGAGAGAGAAAGGGAGGACAGAAAAGGAGGGACTGAGGAGAGAGAAGAAGAAGTATGGAAGGAGGAGAACGAAGAAGAAGACAGACATAGCCGGGGGTGTGTAAAAAAAAAAAAAAAAAAAAAAAAATTACAGCGAAGGAGAAGAAGAAAGAAAGTGAAGGAAGGGGAAGAAGACGACGAGGGTGGCAAAGGTGATGGTGCCGGCAGCCATAGACGAGGTTGAGGGTTGACTAGGCGTTGACCAGACCGTTGACCAGAGGGTTGATCGAGGGTTGACCTGGCGTTGACCAGGGGTGTTGACCAAGCGCTGACCGGGGTTGACCACGTTGACTCGGCATTGACCAAGGCGTTGATCGGAGCTGCTGCCCAAGATTATGACCAAGCTGGAATTGGTGATATCTCGTTGACCCTTCAGCCTTTCCCCTTACCCTGTGGATGTGCACTTACCCCACGGTACTTGCTGAGTTGTCTATCTACTCTTTCTGCATTGAGTCTCTTCTGTCTTAGGTAGTAGGACTCTGTGGATGAAGGATAGGGCCTTGCTGCCAAACCTGCACGGGCTTAGTAGGACCTAAGCTCTACTCTGACACTTGGAGACCTGGGCATGAGCGGCGAGCGCTCGTTAAACAACTCGTCTAGCCCAATGACCGGTACTGTCCGGCAGGTCTACTGAGTTCAGTGTGGAGGGTCTGAACTCCGAGCTGAAGGATGAAACGAAGGCCGTCTTTAAGTGTTGAGGCCTGGTTGAGCCACTCCCCTACCGGACCTTGTAAGGCTGATGATCTGTGTCTGATGACTCGACTGTCCCGAGGGATACGAACCCCTCCAAGGACCGGTACAGACCGGGGGGCTGCTCGGTGTGGCACAGTAGGCTGGACGGGCTGAGTTGTGGGCTGAAATCGCGAGAGGAACCAAGCTGATCGCGTCGTCCTGTCTGCGACGTTAAAGAATTCTTGCGAAGTTGGGGGATCTTCTAAAATACCTCCTGATCAGCTTTTGGTTTTGTAGTGACAGCCTTAGAGTAGTCTTGGGTTAGTTGCCTGTGGCCCTTAGGGAGTCAGTCAGTAGGTCAGTGTGTCCGGCTAGGTCTACGTGGTGAGGAGTGGGACCCCTGTCGTGCACTAACACCACAATGGATGACTATCCGATGTATGGGCTACTTGCGGGGTTCTCCCTCTGGGGGACCCTCTAGCTTCTCCTCTTTCCTCTGGGCTTTTGGCCCACTCTCACGTGTAGAGTAGGGCCCACTCGCGGTGGGACTTCCACCACCCCCTACACGAAGGAGTAGGAGGAGAAGATGGCCGCCATTCTGCAGGAGAAGAAGGAGAAGAAGGAGGCCAAGAAGAAGGCCTTGAAGGAGGAGCAGGCGGCCAAATTAAAGAAGATGGAAGAAGAGATGGCCAGGGAGAAAGAGAAATTGAAAAAGGAAGAAGAAGAGAAGCTGAAGGAGGTGGATGAAGAAGAGGAAGGACCCTCTGAAACGTCAAGCGTTGGAAGACGAGAAGAGGATGGAATGGAAATTAGCGGTGATGCGGGAGAAGAAGAGGAAAATTGACAAGGCAGCGGAGGCGGCAGAGGCCTTAAAGGAAGTGAAGAATATAGAGGCGCAATTAGCCGCCTAGCCCGATCTCCCAAATCAGATGCTAGTCATAGCTCGAAGCGGTGCATGCCTTGCACGGGTTCAGGCAGACCAATATGACTTTAGCAGAAGCCAGGACATAGCGGTGCGCTCGATACTATTGGGCTTTCGAGACTTTGCTCGTGAGCTGGTAGGCGCCGTTGGAGTCGAGGTGGGTCATCGCCTCGACAAGACTGAGCGGTTCTGCGCCGACGCCATTGAAGGCGTCAAGGCGGCAGCTCCCAAGGAGGAGGAAGCACGTCYTCCTCGCCGGGAGCCTGTCAAAGTCAAGTTCCCCAATTCCTACAGCGGGAAGAGGGA